CCCCAGGTCCTTTTCTGCTGGGCAGCTTTCCAACCCCTTGTCCCCAAGCCTGGAGCATTTCAGGGGGTTGTTGTGGCCCAAGTGCAGGACCCGGCACTTGGCCTTGTTGACCCTCGCACAGTGGCCTTGGCCCATTCATCCAGCCTGTCCAGATCCCTCTGCAGAGCCATCCTGCCCTCAGGCAGATCCACACTCCTGCCCAACTTGCTGCTGTTTGCAAACTAACTGAGGGTGCACTCGATCCCCTCATCCAAGGTACCACTATGTTGCCTTGTCCTTGCTCCTGCTCTCGATGGAGAAGATTGAGCTGTGATGAGCTCTTTCATTTCTAATTTTCTTTGAAGCCTGACTGTCAGAACCTTCTGTAGGGTCCTTGTGTGGCAGGTTAGAAAGGAGTAGTTGGATTTAAACAATGGCAGCACGGTTGAGCCACTTACAGTCCCCAGCCAGTGACAGCATTCATTGCATCCTTTAACCTCCTTCAGATCCCAGCAAGACCAGGTAGCCCAATGCTGGCCTGGGCAGGTCCCTGGTCCTGTTACCTCTGCTTTTGAGAGAAACCAGGGTGCTATGCAGGGCCATACGAAGACAGACAGAAAGTCAGTGCTAAAGGCAGACAAAACCTGGCCAAACCTCACTCATGTCAGCAGGAGTGCTTTAGATGGACCTCCCTGGAAGCCTTCTTTTTTTTAATGTATTCCCAAGAAATTGTAGCAGAGCAGAAGCTGTCTGAAACAAAAGACAGTGTTTTATCCAGCATCAGAACCTGACGCTGCTTTGAATGTTTGTTTCCTGAACCATTCAACAGAAGTGTCTTTCAAATGTAATTTCACTAGTCATTTTTCATTACCCTTATTTTTTCTTTTTTTTTTTTTCCCCCAGTAGAATATTCAACTTGATGAACTGCAATACCTTTGTCCTTGCAGCCTTACTTTTCAAACCGGCTGCAGAGGCTTCAGTATAGCAAGAGGGTTAACATAAAAGATCGAGATTATATTTGTTTTGAAAGGAGACCGAAAAAAATACATTCTGCTCATGAATGGTCACTAAGAGAGCACTGATCTTCGTAGTGCAGCCTTGCCGTGCAGCACAGGAGCTCGTGGTGATGATAAAAGGATATAGATTTTTAAAAGGATAAAAAGAAATGCTTTTCTAACTTGGCACATAACAAGCTACGGGAATTGGTTGCCGGGGGACGTTGTTGCAGCACATACTTCAGTAAGATTCAAATCTCTGAAGAACTACCAGTCCTCCAGGTCCAGAACATGAACTATGGGGCTAGCTGAGGTCGCAGAAACTTATTTCACCCATAGAATAATGTCACACAGTCCCCCAGTTGCTAATGGAGGGCTCAGCTCTCCTCTTTAGTACGAGCTAGACTAGTTCATGGTGGTTTTTGAGGTGAGAAACATCCAGTGTCTGGAGACTACTGAATGAAGGAAAACCTCAGGGAGTGTTTTCCAGCCTAAAAGGAATTTTCTTTTCATCTGCAGGCAGTTACTTTTTCTTTCATCTGGGAAGAATGGAAAAATTCTCAATTCCTTTGCTTCTTATAAGCACAGTCATCAGAAAGGATTCACAGGCTGGATCCTCAGCACGTTTAATTCAATGGACTTTTTCCATTAGCTTTAATGGGTTATGTTTCACTCCTTTTGCCAGAATGGCTTCTCAGAGTGCTTTGAGATCTACAGATGAAAGCCCTGGATAAGCAAGCAGAGAATTTATTATTATTGTTCATCTGGAAGAAGCGGAGTTATTTCATCTCCTTACAATGAGTTTATAAACTCTGTTGCCAGCAAAAGGGAAGAGAAGATGCTAGGCTTAGTCTCAACTGTCTTTGCACAGGCTGAGATACGCTTATAGGCATCACCAGAAACGTTTGTGCTGTTGTTTAAATTACTAGCCCCAGTTAGAGTTGTCACCAGTTCTGCTCAGAACTACCGGGCTGGTACAGACTGACCTGCCACATGCAGCACCCATATCCCTCACTTTTACAAGGTCCTGTCTGTTTCACAAGTCGCCACCCTCGGCATCAGATCTGCCCATCATCTTCTTTCAAACCCTTCAAAAGCTGCTAAGTGGAGCTCCCTAGGGGAAGTTTCCTGTGTATTAGTAGAAAATCAAGATGAAGACCACCTTATAGCACCTTCCAGTACCTGAAGGGGCTGACAAGAAAGCTGGGGGGAGGGACTTTTTACAAGGGCTGAGAGTGACAGGACAAGGGGTAATAGGTTTAAACTCAAAGAGGGGAGATGTAAATAGGATGTAAGGAAGAAATTCTTCCTGGAGAGGGTGGGGAGGCACTGGAACAGGTTGCCCAGAGAAGCTGTGGATGCCCCATCTCTGGAAGTGTCCAAGGCCAGGCTGGATGAGGCTTTGAGCAACCTGGTCTAGTGGAAGGTGTCCCCGCCCATGGCAGGGGGGTTGGAACTAGATGGTCTTTAAGGTCCCTTCCAACCCAAACCATTCCAGTATTCTGTGCTGTTGCACAGCCTACATGTTCACATCCTAAGCATAATCTTTGTCACAAGGTGTGGGGTGGATACAACTGAGCCTTAGCCAGCCAAGCTGACGCCCAGCAGTGCAGACAGAAAGGAGATGGGTCCCAAGGGTCAGAAAACGTATTTCCCACTCTTAAACCTGCTGTTTATCTTGTGGTATGGGCATAACTGCACATCGTGTGTCAGTGTTCATAGGAAGAGGTAAGAGGCATCTGGTTTTACTATTTGGGCAGTGGAGGGGAGGGGGAAAACCCCAAAACAAAGATTGGATTGATTGTAACAAATGACTTCCCAAATTTTAACTACTGTTAATGAACTGCAAGGAGAAATAATATTTCATGCTATAAAAGGCTTACTGTCAAACTGAGTCTGCCAGGGCCGTCTCTGGCAGCTGTGTTTCTGTTCTGCAGGCAGAGGTGATCAGTGGCATTACTTTGGCTTCACTCAGATGTGGTCTTCAAGCCAACAAAGTTCTGAAGCACATGGAAGTCCAAGAATGTACATATATCTATATATATTTCTTTTAATATATGTGGAATTCCAAGAAAGTACACTTATATATAAACATGTGTATATAATGTATAGTTTACTTATAAAGATATATAAATATATAAAAATATATTCACACACTATAAAATACACTTTTTCCTTGCAGCTCATTAACAGTAGTTAAAATTAAGGAAGTCACTTATTACAATCAATCCAATCTTAAATATTTTCCCCAGTGCTTTTTTCCCTCCACTGCCTAAGCAGCAAAACATATATAGGTATTTATATTTAAGTGTACTTGATTTTTTTTTTAACTGGCATGGTAAAAAACACAAAGATTACAAGGATGTAATACATCTGGAGTCACTCAGTCCCTTACTAGTGCATTCATATAAAGAAGAACAACTTTGTGGCCTCAGCAAGCTCAGAAGTGGCCCCATAAATTGGTAGAACCACTGAGATGTTTTCTACTCCTATTAAAATAAAACTGTTGGTGACAATTTATGGCTGCAAATACAGTTCCCATGTGTCACGTCAGCTACAGTCCAGCTGGGAACTTGGGAACTCTAAAGAAGAACCATCATAATCTTGTTGATTCCCATATATTTGGAATATTTGCTTCCAAATGAGTTTTCTTTGCACAACAGGTGCTGTTCTCTAAAATGAAATGTCTTGTTCCAGATCTCATTTTTGGAGAAGATGTGTCCAAGATTTTTGCTGACTTACTGTGGAAATAAATGAATCAGTCTGTAAGAGTGATTGGGCAAAAATTAACAAAAATCCATCCCAATTACCTTAAAAGAAAATAAATACTGAAGGAATATTCAGCAGACAGCAAGACCTATTTAGGCTTCTGAAGAAATTACTGGAAATGGAATGACTTAGAGTACTGAACAGAAGACAGAAAATGAAAGAATTTCTCGTAGGGCAGATTTCCCCACCGGCATGTGAAGGACTAAACAAACCCCAGGAGGCAACTCCATCCCTGACTGTGAAAATACCTTAGGATTCCATAGGAACCTGGGTTTGTGCCTCTGCTAGGAGTATTTTAGATACTAAAACTTACAAAGATGCTCTCCGCGTGAGCAGAGCTCTGATGTTAAAGCTGTTCTTTGTACCCAAATGAGCTCTTGCTCCTAAACAGAACGGGCTCGAGCGGATTGGCCAAGCATAGCCATTGGGTTGGAAGGGACCTTAAAGACCATCTAGTTCCAACCCCCTGCCATGGGCAGGGACGCCTTCCACAGGACCAGGTTGGTCCAAACCTCATCCAGCCCCACCCTCTCCGTGAAGAACATCTTCCTGAAAGAAATACGCGTTTAAATGCGTTTGCACTTGGGGTTTCTGCTAATACAATTCTGCCTGTCAGGGAGCTGCACCTCTTCCCACCCCTGACCAGCGCCGGGTGTGTTGGCAGAAATCCATGGTGGTTAGGGTCAAAGGGAAGTTATTGAGATGGAAAGCAAAGCCGTAGATAAAAAGCTCTCTGTAATTACATCAGCATAACCGTGCCACAAACGTAACTGTCTGTTTAAATTACAGGTATCTAGACCTCCGAAAATTCGGCTCAGTTCCTCATGGAGGCTTCGGAATGGGGTTTGAACGCTACCTGCAGTACATCTTGGGAGTTAACAATATCAAAGATGTTATTCCTTTCCCCAGGTTTTCCCACTCCTGTCTCCTGTGACTCAGCAGTTGACTCATGTGGAGAAAACTGTTGGTGTGACGATATGTACAGAACACATTCGGATATTACTAAGCCTGTTTTACTGGGAAATCAAAGTCATTTTTATAGCAGTGAAACTCCTGGTAAATTTAATACTGGCTTATTGGAAATAATATATGTTCTGGTGAGATTATGGAAGCACACTTGCAGTGAATTTGATAGCAGTTCATGTCTTCACTGCGCTTCAGGAGTATTAAAAAATCCCACTTAACTAAAGGGTTAAAATTCTCGTGGGACTAGCACTAGCCATGGAAGGTACTGAATAAGCGTTGTTGGGAGGTAGTGGGGGGTTTATATGAAATATTAATAAGGAGGTGTGACCTAAAATGAACTGGGAGCCAGGACTGCTGTGAGGCTTTAACAAGTTTTAATTAAATGCCTGCGCAGTGCTTTGAAGATTGTTATAAATTTGTGAAGTATTGTCATGGCTGTGATGCACTTGCTCTTACGAGATGACTACTATAAAGCATGATTCTCCCCACCCCGAGTTACAGGTAAATATTGTTGAACTTGGAAAAGTCAGCCAAACTTTGCAAGGAAAAATGTCATGTTGGAACCGCTGGGGTGAATTAGGTGAATGATGTTTGATTTTGTGAATCATCAATAAAGACGTACGCTGGGTTGTTTCGTAACTCTATGGCATCTTCTTCTGTTATAAAACCATAGCACTCAGCATCGTAGTGTTCCCTTCAGTGTCTCTGGGAGATGCTTCCTTCTCCGTATGGCCAAATCAGTTGCACAGCTTCTGCAGGAGTTACCTGGTTTCTGTCTCCAGGAGAGCACGTGTTCACAGCAGAAAGCAACGTTCAGTTGGATGAGAGTTCATTCATCTCTCCGGAGCCAACTTGCAGTTTATTGCTGTGGTTTTGTTCTTACTTTTGCTTTTTTCATTGTTGTTATTGAGAAAACCTCTGGTGTGCTCATCGGACCAAGCAGTTCTGACTGTATTTTGAAACACCCAACATATGCTCCCAAGCATTGCATATGTATTAAGTAATTGCTTATCGCTACAGGATCTGAACTCCTCGCGCTCTTTAATGGGTTTATGGTCTCAGCTTCCCTGCCAGGTAAAGAAATATTTATTTCTGTTTTGAAGACGGGATTATGGGAAGATCAAGTGACTTGCCCGAGGCAACTGGAAACCAGTGGTTTATTTGGGACTTGAACTGAGGGTTTCCAGCATCCTTCTTCCCTTCCAAATTATCACAATCCAGCGAATGGTCATTTGCATAGTGCTTACTGCTCTGGAGCCCAAGACGCTGCAGTATAAACAATATATATATATAAAGAGAAAGAAGCAAGGTAGCAGCCTGATTGCTAATGAACCCCGTGTAAATAGGCACATAGAACGTGACGTGGCTGCAGAACAGCCCTGAAGACTTTTTTTCCAAGGAGATGAAAGAGATTGAAAAACAGTAATCAACCAGCATTGCGCTGGTGGTGTTGCAGTCACAGTTCTCTGGTAGGGCGGTATAATGCTGCACCTGCGGTATCTAAAAATACATATTTATGTCATGTGGCACCTGCCCTATTTCGGTTTGGTCCACGGCTGGGGCTTTTACATGTTATGATCATGCAAACACCACCACAAGGTCATTACTTCGGGGTGTTTGTTGCATGCGCTGAGACATCCCCTGCATATCAAGGTCTTTTTCATATCTTCTTCCCCTGCTTGATTAGGCAGGTGTTAACTGTTTGCATTTCCCGGTACAGCCTTGAGTCGATAAGTCTGGTTCCACGAAACGGTTCAAGCACCTGCCTTCCCTTTGAAACCACCGAGAAGTTCCTACATCAGACCCCCGAGTGTCTTCCTGCGTTTGGACCGTCTCTCCTTTTTAATGCATTGTCTTAAATGTTATTGCTGGCCTTTATGTTTTGGAATTACTTCTCTCAGCAGAAAGATGTGGGAAGAGTACAGCTGCCAAATTGCCCCATCCATACCACATTCCTAAACAACTTGCGATGAGCAGGTGTCCTCATTGAGATCCTTAGTCACTGCGGTGGTTGTAAATGAGGGTGCTTGCACTGGAAGCCCGTCTGCAGAAAACAGAGTGGGTGGGTGGCAGAACCACCTCCTGTCCACTCTGCCCTCATCCCTACGGCAGCTCTGGGCTGGCTGTTGTTGGCATCAGCAGGGTGTTGCTAATCACACCGCCAGATGCCAGATCTGATGGGCAGGGTGGGGCTAAACAGCCACAGGTGAAAAACAAGGTGTAGAGAAGAAGACAATAGAAGGTGCCAAATAGTCGTGGGATGATGCGGCGTGAGTCACGAGTTACGGGGAAGGATGGCAGGACTGTTTCAAGGAGGTGTGCAGAGCGGCTGTCAGGGCCTTACGCGAGGTGACAGCTTTCAAGATCCAAGGACTGGTATGATCCACCCTTCATTCTTTGCCTTGACAAGAGGTTGTTTCAGGACAGAAAGAAGGCTGAACCTTTGATTTAGGTGGGTATACAAGGGAATGTCGATGGATTAGGGGTTTAGTTTCAGGTTTGGGGTTTTTTTTCCTGGTTGCAGACATTGCAGGAAGGCAGATTTTTAAGGAAGACGTAGCAAAGGTGCACTATGAGTGATTCTTCTGACTACATGTCCAAGAGGAGCAGTCTCCCCACTCCTCTCCGTGTGCTTCATTCAAAGGTATTTGGTGAATTGGAGATGGGCAGGGTTGAGCAAAGGGGGGCACTGCCCTTGGGTCTAAAAGCTACTCCCCAGTAACTGGCAGAATGAGGGAGAGGAGAGCAGGTTTATCTCCAGCAGAACTAACCAGGTGAACATTCAGGCTCAGAAGGGAGGAGAAGGGGCGGTCCAGTCTTGGAAACGGCCTTCAACATGCGTTGGTTTTCCTAGCGATGGGAGAGAGGAGGAGGTAGAGGCCGAGGTCCATGTGCGTGACAATGGTGCGTAGGGTTAATACCGGGCCTGGCGTTGTTGTGAGAAGCTTGATTTATGGGTACCCAGCCAGG